TTCCACAAATTCAATCATCTTTCCCATCTGTTTAAGTCTTTTGGCATAGTCCTCAGCCCTATCCTTGAGCAGCTCCTTGGCCCCCGCAATGACCAGGATTGGGTCAAGGGTCAAGGGTTTGAGGCTAGGACTCAAAGGGCCAAAAGGGTTGGCTAGTGGGTGGTCTCTAGTTTCTCCAATCGGCATTGATAATCTCCAAAACCTACTTTTAGAAAGAACAATAATTTACTTTTACTGAATTAATTAACACTTAATAACTTAATTTAAAGCATGCTACATATTATATACAGAAAAGAACTATTTTACTTGTTCCATTTTCATGTGACATCACATTGCCACAATGTAGGAGTGAAGTGTGATTCAGACATATCAAAACCCCACATATAATTATCATCCTAGAAAGTTTGTGAAACAATTGGACTTATAATAGTGAGTTTGTAATGGTATTGGACGGATCTTCTTTGTTGCATAAGCAAAATATAATGTAGCTGGATAAGGCACTATCGAATATTCTTTTTGGGCGTGCAAAGAGATTAATCAAGCACTATCTTATTAATATACCACAAAATTATATATAATTAATAATTAATACTTTGAACAAATATTTTAGTACAATGAAAGATAAAAAAAAAATGGTATGAATGATATTATCTTTGAACAAGTATTATCATTTGCTTTCCTTGTTTATTTAATTATTTATCACTAAATATATTGGTCATCAATCTATTTAGCAGGATACCCCTTGTGCTCCAATGAATTCATCTTTATTCATAAAAAGAAAAAAAAAGAAAAAAAATTAGCATTATATTAATTATACGCTTTTATTCACATATTTTCATCATTATAAAGGATAAATTAATGAACCTAAGACATAAAAAAATGCATAGATATGGAATTATTGATACTGTTATTTCAATTTCAAGAATTAATCTAAAATAATTACTTGACAAGATGAGAGGAATATCTAAGAATTGACTCTAGTAAACAGAAGGAAGGAAATAAAATGTATTGAATTTGGATGGAAATATGCTAAAACAATCGGGATAGAAAAAAATTGATTCTATCGTGAAACAAAATGCTGAAACGTGGCAATTTTGGCTCCATGGAGAGAGATCACTTAACATCACGCTTTCAACTGACTTGTGTGTACGGATTTTTGGCCTTGGAGTCTATGATTAAGCCTTGAATTTAATCCCATATGATTTTTCCAAAATGCTTATCATTAATCATTATTTCACACGCATGTGATAGATTCTTCCCCCAATTCTTACTATTCATCTCTCATATATAACAAAATTTGTTTTCTAACTAGAAAACAAAAAAGTTTGTGTTCGACATAATTTTATCTACAATATTTAGATATGCGCACAATTTTATTTAGTAATAAAATTTTATAATAAATATATATATAATTAACTTATTAAATGATAAAAATTAATTATCACTATTATTATGTAAGATTATAAGATTTTATTATGAGATACAATAAAATTTTATATGAATATATGTAAAGGGATTAACATTTGTTCGTCTTACCTCTAAAAAATTTAAAAAAAAAAATAAAAAATATCATAATTCATACTTTAAAAATAAAATATTTTAATTTTTTTCAATAAGTATTTATTAAAATGACGTAATTTTGAAATAACATTTCTCTTTATTTTTAGGAAATAAAACAGATAAACACTATTTTCATATGTAAAACTCTAAATCTTCAATTTATATATATGTATATGATGTTAACGATTAATCAACGATATCACCGATTAAAGGACAACAAAATATTCAATGATCAAATCAAATCTCTAAAGTGTGAAAGGTAGAGAAATGGCCTTTTCATGACCTTTTTCTAATGAATCATAGAATCCTTTTATGCCCTGAATTTGGGGATTCTAATTAATGCTTTATAATATCTTCCCGATTTCAGGTGATTGGTACCAATGCCTGCCTAGTTAGAATATCATCAATCCATAATTAATTTGGGAATGATACACATGTCCAAGCTTGATTGTTACCTCATCTTTGACAGGAACCAAATGATGTATATTAGGTGCCGATATTTCTTGTCGATTATGAAAAAGAGGGCAGACTAAATGGTCCAAATCACGCCAAAATTTAGGCATATTTGGCTTTGTTTTCAACAAGCAGTTAATAGTTATTTTCTTTAAAAATCATTTTAACTTATACTTTTAAAATATAATAAATATATTTTTTATTATAAATTTATATTAAAAAATAAAAATTAATTTTTAATTTATCAACTGTTAATTAAATTTATTTACTTGATAATAATGTTAAAATTAATATTAATTTTTATATTTTTCTACATACATTTATAACAAAAATGTACCATTAACCTTCGGGATGAGTAAGAATTTTTGAATTATAGTAACAACTATCAATAACTAATTAAGTGTTACCAATTAATTGCTTAATAGCTAAACCAAAAATGGTTTTTGTCTAATCCATCATATTGGCCACCAATCAGTTTAAACATTATTGAGAAAAACTTCATTGAGTTTATACCCATTAATTAATTTAAAATTTTACTCCCTTTCGTCCCATTTTACACGTACGATTGAAAAAAAAAATGAAATGAAACTACTCAATAACAAAAACACATAGGAATTTTTTTTGTAATTGTCATATATTCATATTGTATTATACTCCCTACATTCCTATTTTTCTATAAACGGGTGTCTCAATTTGTAGTAGCCGTCAATTTCTATTTTAAATAATACAATAAATTTTTTCAACTTTATCCTTAATGAAATTTTTTAATAATTTCTTTAATAAAAACATAATATTTTTACTCACAACCCTTGATCCCACTCACATAATAAATAGTAACTATTTTTTTTTTTTAACATGGTTACATTGTTGTTGTTGAGGGAAGAGGGGAATGGGTTGGTTTCGAACTCAAAACTTATGAGAAATCTTATGTAATGAGTTATCACTTGCCCTAATCAAGAGTTCTCAAATAGTAACTATAATAACAAAAGGGTATATAATAGTTATAATAGTTAGTTAATAGAATAGATGAAATCAATTTAAAATTATCATATAAACTAATGTTTCCAAATTTAAGCAAATTTTGAGAGTTAAGGTTGGGATGTTAGAACCATTAATTACCATGACAATATCAAGGAAAAAAAGCTTAATCGTACGGATATAAGAGTACCTGTCGAGTGTCTCCAGGTTCAGAGTAACCTCACTAGGCCCCTCCTCTGACTTTGTCCTAACCACTCCACCAAAAAACGGCGCCATTAACACATAACCTCGTACCCAGACCGGCCTCAATTCCGGTGAACCAGCCCCAAACTGTACGGCCAAATGGTGCGCCATATTGCCTCCCGACGAGTCGCCTAGCACAAAAACCTTCTCGAAGTCGACCTCACCACCGTCGAGCCACGTATCCACGATGTTTCTGCTCAAAGCTTGAGCCTGCAAAGCAGAGTAATTCAGAATTTCTATTTAGTGCACGCGAATTTATAAATTGAAAAGTAATCAGTAGTGTAAAACTCTAAATTTAACTTAAAATTAACTTTTTTATAAATATATTTTTATTTTTTAAATTGATTTTTAGAATCCAATGAATTGCCCCATGTTAGATCCATCATTTGTCAATAACAATTGAACAATTTTAATAACAATTGAATCGTCTTTCAATCAACTATTTCTATCATTGAAAATTAAATTTCAATCTACTTGAGTATTATTATTTATTTATATGTTAAAATTTGATATATTTGTTACCCTAAGTTAAATACCATATATTGGATAAAATTCCTTACCTGCAACCACTTCATAGCACTAACCGCATCCTCCATGGCGGCTGGTAGCCTGTGCTCCGGTGCCAATCTATAGTCTGGCGCGACAACCACCGCCTTGAGGCCAGAGGCGAGGCGCAAACAGCAGTTGTGGCAATAAGGCGAATCGCGGGAGCCGAAGCAAAAACCACCACCATGAATGAAAATGATGATGGGAAGCTTGCTAGGGAACGGAGGTGGCAATGTTGGCTTGTAGAGGCGGAGGTGTAGATCATGGTTTTCGTCGAACACAACGTCCTTGAAGATAACAGATGTGTCCTCAACGATTGGCGGCATGTGGGAGTCTATGTTTTTTGCCCGGAGGACGGTCCCGTCGCTCAAGAGTTGGAGGAAGCCCATGCAATTTTCTACAACGTGAGGAATGGAACCCATTTTCCCTTTCTTCCTTCCTTTGTGTTGGACAATTGGTAAGGAAAAGTTGTGTTTTTATAGGCGAGGAAGGTGGGATGCAAATGGGGGATATTGACAAATAATGTTGAGGATGATACTGTAATTTTAGCCCTTATTGAGATGTAATTTTAATTCCTGGTTGGTTGTTTGTTTTCATTTGGAAAGTGGAGAATTCGTCATCTTTTGGGTTGGCTGTTTTTACTCTTACTTGTTTTTTACTTCTGAATATGTATTAGAGTTTAATGTGTTTTACTATGAATAAATAAAAAAATTGTCAATTTTTTCTTAAAGAATGAGTGTATGGATATGTATAAGTCACTTACTTAAATGAATTAATGGTAATACTTTGATCAAATGAAATAAAAAATTTTAAATTTACATAGTTGTTATGCCTATAACTATTATATGATTTTTTATATAATAATGATGTATTTATTATATTATATAAAATTACACTTTTATAATTATAACAAACTATTAAATAAATATATATAATTTTAAATAAAAAATTAATTATATAATAACATATTATAATTATAAATTTTTAATATTATATAATATTATAACTATATCAGTTTCAGTTTTTTACTCAAACAGATGTAAGATTAGTGCAAACTTAAATCCAGATTGGTAGGAAGAATAAATCAAAAAGTAATTAATTTATTTTGTCCTCTTTCAACCCAACCACCCCCTATCGTTTCAACTTGAAAGGTCGCTAGGTCAATGCAAACTTATATTCAGGTTGCAACGAATATTGTTTTAGTAGTGGAGATGAGATCATGAGAAGGGGATGGCCACCAGCCACTGGCTGCGCTTAAACCTGCTCTTGCCTTGGTACAGAAAATAATGCTAATAAAGACGTGTCAAAGCCTATGAATATGATAGCGTCATG